TGGCGAAAAAGCCGGTGATAAAATTATTCAATTATTAAGCAAAAAGAATGAAAAGACACCGGTAGCAGCATCACCAGTAGCGACATCGCCAATAGAAAAACCACAATCAAGAGAACTGAGCGATTACGAGATTAATGAGAGAGTAAATCAATTATTATCCGGGGGTCAGATGAGCAGATTTATGTAATCTATTATTATATGAAATCATTTAGAGATCCAAACTATGTTGAACGATATGAAGATGTTATTTTTGACCTAGAAACAGCACTAAATACAACTGTCACCAATAATGCTCACCAAAAGAAAGATGGCTACAGATTTGTTGTTGATAACAGTGGTGAGGTTACACCATTTGACTGGTATAATGCTCGTATCAGTCTTGATTTCAAAGTAGTCTTACTGGCTAATGGAGGTAACATTGCAGTAGCAGATCATAATGGTATTGTAAACGGGTCGTACTCACTGTTAAAACATTTTGATATTAAGCTCAATGGTAAGAAAGTGTATGATTGCAATGACGCGAATCACGCGGTTAATATTAAGAACTTACTTGAGTACAGTCCATCTTACACTGATAAGACTGCTAGTAATGAGTTTTTCTACCTTGATACATCCAGAAATGCGGAAGAGCGGGAATTTGAAGTTAGTGGCACAAATCACTTAGCCAAAAGGCGAGCAGCTTACAATAAGGGTTTTGCCCTTCGAAAAGCACTCTTAGGCGTCTCATCTACAGTAAATACAGAAATACCACTGAACAGATACTCGTTTTTCGAAATGTTAGAAGATGAGCTGTTACCTAATACAAGGGTTGAGATGAATTTTGAGATTGAGTCCGACGGTAATCTAATTTGGCAAGCCGGGGCTGATTGCAGGGTGGTTGGTTATCACCATGATGCAGTTGTATGTTCCGCGGATAACCTTTCACAGTGAAGGCCAATCATCCTACATGAGCCAATACCTTAAAAATCATAAGTGGACTTATTTGAGAGAGAATATTGAAAGATCAATTAGTAGCCAGCAGAGACCTGGGCATTTCAGAATCTCTTCTGGTATTTCAAAACCCCGACACGTGTTTGTGTCTATAATCAATCATGCGAATATCGATGCCCAGACACAGAACCCATTCTTGTACAATACAATCTCTGTATCGACTGACCCAAGAACCTTATCCAATTGTCACCTGGAAGTTGGAAATGGTAACGAATACCCCGAAATACATTACACACCGACTACTGATATGACTAGAGTCTTCAGGGATGTGTTGAAATATGTTCACAAAAATAATGAATACGGTGAAGGGTCATTACTCAATAAATCAAATTTCAGTACCCTGTTTCCATTCTTATATTTTGACTTAACAAAACAGAAAATGGACATTAAGGATGGCACAACAAAACTGACATTTAAATATGAGCTACCTGGAACAACGGCAGCAGCCTACTCAATTTACGCATTAACATTATATGAGCAAGATGTTGAGCTAATTCAGAAAGATGGTAAAATAATACTCAGATCGTAAATTGAATATCGTTAAAATTATGTAACATATATTATATACAAGTAATGACAAAATATTATCCTCATGGTGTGTCACTTAGTAAAGGACAATTGGAAAAGCTTTCGAGAGCTTACAATAATAACTCAGCAATAACCATCAGATTAGCCAGAAATGAGTTATCCGGTCCACACAAATTAATGCTCACAAAAACTCAGATCAATAAGCTGAGAAAAGCAATGAGCCAGGGTACAGGATCGGATATCAAGATATCAAAACACAAATCAGAAAGGCTGTTAGACAGGGTGGTAGTTTGTGGGGATCATTAATCAATTTAGGAAGCAAGTTACTACCTATGGCAATGCCATTAGCCAAAAAAGCTATCGCACCGCTTGCAACAGGAGCGTTATCAGGATTAGCCAGTTTAGGTGTGGATAAAATATTCGGGAAAGGTCAACGAGGAGGTTTTCTTATTCCACAGGAAAAAATAGCACAATTGATTGCGTACAAACATTTACTATCCACAGGCCAGAAAAAACAGATTTTAGAGGCTTTACAGTCTGGTGGGCAACTAGTTATCAAACCAACACAAAAACAAATTAACGGGGGTTTTCTTGGAGCCCTTGCCTCCATTGGTATACCAATCGCCATTGAATTAGCCTCAAAACTCTTTGGTAAAGGACTGCAGGCTGACAGAACCGGTTCCGCTAATACAACATCTGTTTATGTTCCCGATACAACTAATGGCCACGGAATGTATAATCCGTATCCCTACATGTCACCACCTTTTTTTGGAACATGGGAAAATCCAGTTGGTATGGGAGTAAAAAAAAAAAGAAAGGGAAAGGGACTGCTGCTCGGAAAAAACAGCCCATTCAATTCAATCCCAATTCTAGGAACAATACTGTAAGATTCATAAACAAACCATTATCGAATATTGATTTGTTACAATGGGTCAAACAATTAGGAATAAAACATTTTAGGCGTATTTACAGCCGTGATAATTTACCAGACAAAATACACAAATTAGAAACAGGAATAATTAATCTTGATGATTCAGTGGGCGGGGGAAGTCATTGGATTTGTTATAGAAACGTGGATAAACAATATTGTGAATATTTTGACCCGTTCGGATTAATCATGCCCAATGAAATCAAAATTATCTGAAAACAAGAGGTAAAAAAATGGTGTACTCATCAGATGAAATACAAGAAAGAGACAGTGTTTTATGCGGTTATGAGTCAGATAGCAGCCATGAAACTTATGTTCCAGATAGTGATTAGACAATAATTATATAACATAAATATATAATAATGGTGAAATCTTATTGTGTTAAACAGAATGTGTAGAACCTTCGGGTTATAAAACTGCCAAAAATGGTAGACTTATGTTTTGGTGCACTTGTGCTGAATGTGGAATAAAAAAATTTAAATTTGTAAGAAGGGAAACTAGATCAGCCTGTCCTTGGGGCAGGCGTCATCGATACAATAGCTGGTACTGCTCTTGATGGGTTTGTACATCATGCCCTACCATATATGGCCGAAAAGACCGTTGAGATGGGGAGATATTACGGGTCAGAAGCGCTCAGAAACCCTAGATTACAGAAAAAAGCTATAGATTATACTTTGCACAAATTAAATCCAATGATCCAGAATGTCGGTTCTCAAGCTCTTAACCAATTATCAACCAAGTTAAGACCAAAGAAAAAGTACAAAACAAACAGGAAAGATCTTGATGGTGGTGCTATAGATATCCACAAGCAGATTGGTAATTACCAAGACCCGCAGGCGGATGGACCTTACCAGGGCATAAATATACAGGCCCCTACAATGATCTCGAAAATCAAGATACAATCCAGAAACTGGTGAAATATTAGAAATTTATGATCAACCAACTGGGCCAACCGATGCAGTGGCCATGCAGCATGATAACGATTATAGTGTTTGTGGTGATAACCGAAAGTGCAAAAATAAAGCTGACCGTAAAATGGTAAAATCATTAGATGCCATTCCTTATAATGAACGACAATGGGGTCACTGGTTAGCTAGAAACCTAATAAACACAAAACAGAAACTTGGTCTTGGTTTAAACTAGAAAAGCCATCTGGTATCAGTTGGCAACAGCAATTAGCAGACGAACTGCATAAACCAATAACACGCAACTTTACTCGGCAGGTGTTATTACAACCGGTATTGAAAAAATTTGGTGCTCAGATCTGGTTGAGAAGCAACAGTTCAGCAAATGGAACAAGGGTTATAGATATCTTCTCATGGTTCTAGATCTATTCTCCAAATATGGCTGGATTGTCCCACTGAAGAATAAGAAAGGGAGAACTGTCACAGAAGCATTCAAAATCATCTTCAAAGAGGGCCGTAATTACAAGCTACGATGTTATTGTAGGGTGTGACCAAGCAGGAATTGATATCGAGGATATCACGCCTATTCAACGGAAGGCAAGTAATAATTCGTGGGTGGTTACCTTCGGAAGCAAAGCCGTGAAAGACGCCACCCTGAACGAGCAGTCCATTAAGATTGCCGGCTGTGCTGTCCTTTTGGGTGACTGCGAGAACAAAGTCACCATCGTTAAAATCTACGAGCTGCCCGACGAGCTTCCCGACACCGTTGTCATCGGCCATTTGAGCCATTACGGTCAAGTTATTTCTTTTCGGCGTGACCGCGTGGCGGACGCCGTCTTTAATGGTGTTCGCACAGCGAGGATGTCTATCGAGGGACCCATCCCAGCTCAAGCCTTTATTGCCGGCAAGTTCTGCCGGTTTTGGTACCCATCGCAGCCGAAAACATGCAGGAAATGTGGCGCTGAGGATCATCTTGAAAAGCAGAGGAGGAAAGTAGCCGCGCTAAGAGCAAAGAAGAAGAGTGCGAAACACGAGGAGCGCGCACGCTGGGAGAAAGAGAAAGAGCGAAAGGAGAAGGAGGGGAAAGACAGAGAACAAAAGGAACGGAAGGATTGAGAAGAGAGAGATCGGGATCGGAGGGAGAAGGAACGAGAGGACAAAGAACGCGAGGATCGAAAAGAACGCGACAGAAGGAAGCACGACAAGTATTCACAGAGAAGACACAAAGATGATGTTGGCTACAGGAGAGAAGAGAGGAGCGATCGTGAGCGGGACCGCGATCCTTATCGCTCTTTTCGTGATCGGTCCTCTCATTGCGATCATGAAAGCAATGACAGTGGATCAGAAAGCGAAGAAGGATGGACCCGGGTGTCGTATCGGAGAGAAAAAGGCAAGAGTAAGTCGTATTAAATATCTTAATTTACTAATTTTTCGCTTACAGTGCCCTTTGAATTCTTACTATCAATGTTTGTGGACTAGGCACTACCCGTAAACGCGATCTCTTTGTTTATGAGTTAAACGAAAATTTAGACTATGATTTTTTTCTCTTACAAGAGACGCATATTTCCTGTAAATCTCAAGCTGATTTAATTGAGAAATGTTTTAAAGGTCAATGTTTTTGGTCCTTTGGGATCGGCAAATCTGCCGGCGTAGCTATTCTTGTTTCTGCTAAATTTTCTGGTAAGATCATTCGCTATGTCCACGACACTGATGGTAGAATTCTAAGCCTTCTTGTCGATCTGAACTCTTTTAAATTTAATATTATTTGTGTTTACGCTCCAAACACCATGTCCGATCGTAAGTTATTTTTCAACCGTCTACATACCTTTTTCTGTCACCCAGCGATTAAATTTTACGTGGCGATTTTAATTGTATTGATTCTGACCTTGATCGCTTGCATATTAAATCCGACTTTAGCGCAGACAAGCGTTGCTTGTCAGCCCTTAAGTCCGATTTCTGCCTTGTTGATGTCTTTCGTAAACAGAATCCGAAAGCGATTTCTTTCACCTGGTCTAATAAAGATTTTTCCCAGGCTTCTCGCCTCGATCGCTTCTACATTTCTTCCTCTCTTTTGCAGTCAGTTCGCGGAAATAAGTGTTTTCCTTGTTCTCTTTCTGATCACGATTTCGTCGACTTATTTATTTCCCAGGTTAATGTTTCTTTGCACGGAAACGGTGTTTGGAAATTTAATTGCTCTCTTCTCTCCGATAACGATTTTATTAATACTATGACTTCGTTGATCACTTCTGAGAAAGAAAAGATTCCTCTGTTAAAACTCGCTTGAAAGTTCGTGGGATAACTTGAAAATTCAGATTCGTCGTACTTGTATAGATTTCTCTTCTCGAAAACACAGACAACTTCTTTCCGAACGCAATTCTCTAACCAAGCACTCACTCCAAGCTAAATTGGCTGTTTTTGCCAGCGATCGTGACCAGATTTCTAATATAAACAAACTTGAGAGCGCCTTGGAGGCACTCATTAATAACGAGTGCGAGGGCGCTAAGGTTTGCTCGCGAGCGCGGTGGATCAAGGAGGGCCAGAAGCCCACTTGCCTCTTTTTTTGCCTTGAGCATAAACGCGCGGAAAAGAATATTTTTGAGTCTCTTTTTAATGAATCTGGCGAAGAAAAATTCTCGCATGACATTGAACTTATTTTGGTTGACTTTTACAAAGCTTTATTCTCCAAGGATTCCCTTAATATGCAAATTCAGAACCAAATTATAGATGATCTTGACCTTTCTTTGTCTGATTTAGAACGCGAACAATGCGAGGGATTATTCACAAAAGATGAGCTTTCTGCCACTTTGAAAGGCCTTCAGACCGGTAAATCGCCTGGTTCTAATGGCCTTCCTGTTGAATTTTACTTGGCTTTCTGGGATTTGTTGTGTGATCCTCTACTTTCTGTTTTGAATGACTGATTTCAGGTTGGCTCGCTTTGTGTGAGCCAGCGCGAAGCCCTCTTGCGCCTTATTTATAAGAAGGATGATAAATGCTTGGCTAAAAATTGGCGGTCCATATCGCTTCTTAATTGTGACTACAAGTTAGCTTCAAAAATAATTACCGACCGTCTGAAACAAGTTTTGCCCTCAATCGTTCACTCTGATCAAACTTGTAGTGTAATTAATAGATCGATCTTTTCTAACTTACATTTGACCCGCAATACCTTAGATATGATTAACAAAACGGACGAGACCGGAATTTTAGTCACACTTGATCGAATGAAGGCTTTTGATAGACTAGACCACGATTTCCTCATGAGAGTATTAGTTTGGTTTCGGTCTGTCCTTTTGTCATTGGGTTTCAATTTTTTATTCGAATGTGTTTTCACGGATCATATGTAACGGTAAACTTTCGGCTTCTGTTTTCTTAGAGAGGGGGGTTAGGCAGGGTTGTCCTCTCTCCCCCCTTCTCTACGTTTTAACCTCTGAAGTCTTAGCGAACCAGATCCGTAAAAACCCTGCGATCGAAGGCTTCCTGCTCCCCGGAACAGGTGGCCTTCAATTTAAAGTATCGCAGTATGCCGATGACGCCACTAATTTCGTAAGGAACGAGAGATCTCTCTGTCACCTTCTGGAGACCGTGAACGAATACGAGAGGGGGTCTGGGGCCAAGCTCAATACCTCCAAGTCCGAGGCAATGTGGCTGTCACGAAAAATTGTATTGCGTGACTAGCGTGACTTTCTAGAAGGTTCGCGAGAGTTCATAGCTTGTTTATTTTAGGATCTTGTGTAAGCGTTTCTAAAAGCAGTATATTTCGTAATCTTTCTATAATTAGACTATTTGGAAAGTTCCATAATCTTATTGTGAAAGTATATAGGTAGGCAAGTCCGAGGAGAGGAGACGTTAGTCGTGTTTAGTCAAGTGTGACGAAGGTAGTGTTTTTTCAAGTTGGCGGAGGCCGTGTAAGTTTATCAAGTTAATTCAAGTTGGCGGAGGCCGTGTAAGTTTAAAGAGTTACTTGCTGTTGTAGAGTTTTACTCAGTGGAAACTATGTTCATTTTTGGAATAAATCTTCTTGTTGCTGTTCCGACAACCCTGCGTTCAGTTTAGTTTGCAAGCTACCCGTCCTCTAAAAGATTACCCGCGTAACATTGGGGGCCTGTCCGGGAGAGGAATTCAATTGTTTGCTGACTACAGTAACCAGGAAAGGGCAGTTCAAGAAAAAGGAGTATACAGGGAAGTGAGAAGAATTGTTATGAGGAAGTATATAGAGTGTGTTTGCTGTGAACTGAGAAAATGGATAAGTTTATTCAGATTGGAGAAAAGTTCGGATTGGAAGGAGAAAAACTGCTCGAGTTTGTGCGGGAGCAACAAAAGTTAGAAGAAGAAAGAAGGAGGGAAGAAGAAGAAAAAGAAGAAAAACTTAGACAACTGGAAGAGGAAAAAGAAGAAAAGCGTAGACTGTTAAAAAGAACAAAAAGAGGAGAAACGTCGAATGCTTGAGGAAGATAGAAGAAAAGAAGACGAAGAAAGAGAAACTAGGCGGCAAGAACGCGAACTGAGAAAATTAGAGCTGGAAGCAGACCTGTTGAAACAAAAAGAGGCTATTGAAGCCGCTAAGAGAGAGCATGAAGTAGAGCTCGCTCGTCTAGCACAAGGCCGAAACGATACCGAACGTGCTGAAGTGAGAGAGGATAGGGCCAAGGCACCCAAGCTTCCCTCATTTGTTGACGGCAAGGACGACTTAGATGCTTACCTACAACGATTTGAGAGGTTCGCAACTACAGCTAAATGGGAGAAGACAGGATGGGCTTCGAAACTTAGTGCTCTTTTGTCTGGACGTGCCCTAGAGGTTTATTTGCGATTATGTGAGGAAGCAGCCCAAGATTATGACCGAGTGAAGTTAGCTTTAATGAAGAGATATGACCTTACAGAGGACGGCTATCGTCGTAAATTTAGAGCATCAAAGCCGGAAGTTGACGAGAGTTCCGAACAGTTTATAGTGAGACTGGATAGATACTTGTTAAACACTGAACGTTCTTTTGAAGGCCTGAAAGATTTAATTGTGAAAGAACAGTTTATTGACTCTTGCCCAAAAGAGTTAGCTATTCACCTCCGTGAAAGAGCCCCGGAAACGCTTCCTCAGATAGCAAAGATTGCAGATCAGTACTTAGAAGCACATGGAAAGCATCTCTTCAGCTCTGCGAGCAAGAAGGAGGAAACAAGGACTGCACAGAGTGATACAACAGCCCTCCAGTGTTACAAGTGTAATGCCTGCGGACACAAAGCTATTAACTGCCCAACTCTAGCTAAAGATGTTTCCTATGTAACAAGCTAGGTCATGAAGCGAGGAACTGTTGATCAAGTGGACGAAAGTCAGGAGGCCAAGGTAAGGATGGTAACCCTGTGCAACGTGGTCAAGTTAGTGCAGGCTGTTTGGTTAAGTCACCCGATCTTAACGCTACCCCTGAGGAAGTCAAGTCATGTATTCAAAATGATCAGCTTCTGTTAGCCTGTGGCAAGAAAGTGCCGTTGCTGAGTAATGCCTGTGTTGAACCTTTAACTGGAGTAAGAAGTAAGATGCCTGTTGTAAAGGGTAGAGTTGGAGAGAAAACTGTTGACGTTTTAAGAGATACTGGTTGCAGCGGAGTAGTAGTCAAGAAGGACCTTGTCGGAGAGGATCAGTTCACCGGAGACTTTAACATTATGTTGCTTATTGACAACACGGCAAGGAAAGTACCTATAGCAAAAATTTATGTTCATACGCCTTATCTTGAGGGCCATGTAGAAGCGCAGTGCCTTTCAGATCCTATCTACGACTTTATTATTGGCAACGTACCTGATGCCAGGGACGCACAAAATCCAGACCCCAGTTGGCAAGAGGCCTGTGCAGTAACTACAAGAAGTCAAGCTAAGAAAAACGACGAACTCACAGCCTTGAAGGTGCCAAGTAGCTGTGAGAGCCCAATCGTGGATAGAGAGAAGCTCAAGCAGATGCAGCGTGAAGATGAGAGTCTGCGCAAGTACTGGCATCGAGATGATGTACTGGTAAAGGGTCAGCCAGAGATTTCATTTGAAGAAAAATGTGGAGTACTGTACCGTCTGTACAAACATCCTTATGTGAATGGTGGTAAACCGCTTAAACAAGTCATGATACCTGAAAAGTTGAAACGCCCCATAATGGAGGTAGCTCACGGATCGATCATGGGCGGTCACATGGGCATAAAGAAAACAACAGACAAGATCCAGAGCGCGTTTTATTGGTCTGGAATTCAAGGTGACGTGACTCGGTTTTGCAAGTCCTGTGACGTTTGTCAGAAGACTGTAAGTAAGGGAGCCATGCTGAAACTACCGTTAGAGAAGATGCCGCTGATTGACAAGCCCTTTAAGAGAGTAGCAATAGACCTTGTTGGGCCTATCAGTCCTCCGAGTGAAGACGGACACAGGTACATATTGACGCCGGTAGATTTTTCGACTCGCTACCCTGAGGCTGTACCACTAAACAAAATTGATACGGAGACTGTAGCAGAGGCATTGGTTGATATCTTTAGCCGTCTAGGAGTACCCGAAGAAACCCGGAGTGATCTGGGCACACAATTTGTCTCGGAGTGCATGAGAGAAGTAACCCGATTACTAAGCATTAAACAGCTTACAACAACGCCCTATCACCCGACGTGTAACAGATTGACGGAGAAGTTCAATGGAACGATGAAGTCTATGCTGAAGAGACTGTGTAGTGAGCAGCCAAGACAGTGGCATCGCTACATAAACCCACTGTTGTTTGCTTATCGTGAGGTCCCACAAGAGTGCACTGGTTTTTCGCCGTTTGAGCTGTTATATGGAAGAGCTGTTAGAGGACCAATGACCATACTCAAACAGCTGTGGACGAAAGAAGTTGAGGAGCCTGAAGTGAAGAACAGTTACCAGTACGTTTTCGAGTNTTGTCAGAAGACTGTAAGTAAGGGAGCCATGCTGAAACTACCGTTAGAGAAGATGCCGCTGATTGACAAGCCCTTTAAGAGAGTAGCAATAGACCTTGTTGGGCCTATCAGTCCTCCGAGTGAAGACGGACACAGGTACATATTGACGCCGGTAGATTTTTCGACTCGCTACCCTGAGGCTGTACCACTAAACAAAATTGATACGGAGACTGTAGCAGAGGCATTGGTTGATATCTTTAGCCGTC